AATGATTAACTCGTGTGCTCTGAAAAAGGAACAAAGAAAATCAGTGAGTCATCTGTAGCAAAGCAAAACTTTGACCGATAACTGCCACGAGGTACCAATCTGATCAACCAATCGCGCATCCCTGCTCGTTCTCTACTCCTTGCATGCTCCAGCCTACATTCAGAGCGCGTCACAGATGACAGAGTTTATACTGAGAGTTTACTTACCGCTGAATGAGACATGAGACGACGTCGTTTCTACACGTAAGCAATGAGCTGAGGTCCGCTTCTGGATCGACGGCGATTGTGCATTTAAGTGAGGGGGCGTGGCTTTTGAGGGAGCACAGAGGGGAGGCGGTTGGTGTAGACGGAGCACTGAGGGAATCAATTCAATTCAATTCAAAAAACTTTATTTGTCCCTGGGGGGCAATTCAAATGCTACTCAAATGCTACTTTTACAAATCATGCTAGTTTTAGAAAATGACCAACCCTGCCTTTTACTTGCTGAAACAAAGATAAAGATTTAACAGACATTTATGGAACTGAAAATTGTTCATTTTATGACCATTTAACTAAATGTTTTGTTGCATCCACATGTAGCACACAGCTGTCTCTAGCCAACGAGTCGATATAAAAGACGGTACACTACCTTTAAACAATTGGTAGTCTTGGAATTGGAAGACTATCTGGCAAATATATAAAGGCTATTCACAGACAGATTTTTTTTTCCACCAGGAGAATAAAAAAAGGAACAAAAACAGAGCTAAGAAGAGAAATCAGATACACAATACATGAATGCTAATGTTGATCCATGTTTGCAGGATGTGAAAGTAAGCAACTATTTGCCACAACATTATCTATATTTCATCAAGGTCAATACTGTGTTTGTTACCAGTTGAGGGCAAAATGAATGATTTCAGCTCATTTTTTTGTCAAGCAGGGGAACAGATATGGAAATACAGAAATATAGCAAGCTGTGTAAATGTTATTTAGAAACCTTAAAGAAATGAATTCATAGGAAAGCATTTTCCAAGCAATGCAGAACATTTTAACAGTATGTTTTTGTGATATATGCATCCTTAGGTGAAGTCAAAACGGTAAATGGTAAAATTAACTTGAGCTTGTAGAGTCTTCTGACTACCCAAAGCGCTTTAACACCGCATGTCACACACATTCACACACCGATGGCAGAGGTTGCTGTAGTGAGACCATCAGAAGTAACTAATCTTATTCATAAGCATTCATTCATTGAGAATTAATGGGGGTTAAGTGTCTTGCCCAAGGACACATTGGACATGTTGCTGCAGAAGCTGGGGATCGAACCCTCGACCTTCCGGTTGAGAGTGGTCGACTCCACCAACTGAGCCACAGCTGCCCCAAAAAACACCTCCAGTAAATGTATCCAATGACGAACAATAATAGTTTTCAGAGTCAGATCATGAACAGTGACTTTCATTGCAGTAAAACTCTTTCTCACTTCACCTTTCCATTCTGATTCATTTTCCTGCTGCTTCAATTGTCCATACTCATGTCTGTGTTCGAACTGACTGAACCACACGGCTCCATTATAGCCGTGTATGTAACATAACCAGCAACCTTCCAATAGTCTGAAACAGCCAACAGCCAGATCTGTCTACCTTCTGTAGCACAGATGTGAAAAACATGCAGCAACACCTCCTGTATGTGCAATGACTTCAATCTAAAGTGAGATATTCTCACAACAGCTGCTCTAAGAATAAGCACAATTAAAGCGCGACACCCAATTAATGTATGGACTGTTTGATGTGCCGCCCAAAATGTCCTCAAGTTTCAAACTTGGATCGAAAAAGTGAAAAAATAAGAACAGTCACTTTTCTTTCAAGTGTCTCTGAGCTCTTTAGTCGATTATTTTAAACGCAGGTAATGAGAATCAAAGGTCTCCACTCGGTGAAAATTCAGCCTGCCATGTGAAGTAGAGCAGAGCTGATATGGGTGTTAGACCACCCACTGTAGCAAGCAGCAGACTGCACAACGACCCTGGAAATGGCAGAGCAATTTGCAGTCTGCCAAATGATGATTCTACACCGCATTGCCACAGCAGGTGTACACAATCCTCAAGACTGCTTTGAAGTAAATCCCCAGACATGTCTCCACCTTGAGCAGGTGTAGAGGTGATCAAGATCAAAACAGGATCAAACATAGTCTGGCTCAAGATCAACACTTGGAGAATGTGTCTTGATGCAGAACGGCATGATGGGGAGAAAAAATCTCTCAATCAAGAGTAAAATGTTTAGTTCTAGAAATGCAAAAAAAAAAAAAAAGTTCAGACAGCGCCGACTTCTAGCAAGACAAAGTCTCTTCAAAATGAGGACACATTTCAAGAAAGTTAAACTGAGTTTTAGCTGTAAATCAATATTTCAGTGTCTCTGAGGTGAACCGATATTGGCTCAGACCAGAGTCCGACCTCTACTTCCCTTTCACATTCCCTGTACTATAAAAGGAAGCACTCGGGTACTAAAAGAGACGCAAGCGTCCACCAAATGATATGATGTTATGTTGCCATAGAGATGGGGAACGATGGCAGAGCCTCGACAGTGTGGTAGAAAGCTGATACAGGGGTCTGCGTTCAGCTATAGTTCTCCTCTCTGGCAGCACTTAGACTGACCAGACATCCAACAACAAGGCCGCTGCATGGAGCGGTGGAGTATTGATTTTCTAAAGCTCTTTACTAGCTGAGACAGAGTGTAATTAGTTGAGGTGTGACAATACATTGATTCTGATTTCAATAACACAGAACTCTACAATAAAACACGTTTTCTTGCCGTATTTAAAAGCAGTGTGAAAACTGTACAGCACTGATCAAAGTTTTAGGACACCAAACAGTGTTAGAACAACTAAATTTAAAGTCTTTTTTGCATTTCTGAGGAATGGACTGGCTTTTGCAGCGTGGGAGTTTTGTACCTGAAAACAACAGACCGTTTGAAGATGTGAATAAGTGGTTTCATTACATTTCCAGATGTTGTAATGAAGAGACAAGAGGACAAAATGTACCTGAAAACTGCAGCTAATCAGAGCAACAAAACATCTGACATAACTGTAGGTTGCTAGTCTAGGTAGCTAGTTCTATACTGCATATAGTTCAAGATATTACAAATGTGTTTATCGTTACATGGTGGTTCAATAACAAACACTTTATGTGAACTACTGTCCAGTTCCATTTCCACTAATGCTTTAGTGGATTCAGAACGATCCACATCAGAGGCAGGTTAGGGTATGAAAATGTCTGTCAAAGAAAGATTGGTACCAGACAGATTTAGCATTATACGACTGGTTAAAACAATCTCATGGTGGCCGTCTAAGAAGAGGAATTTATTGTCTCTAGAAAAATACAGCTTTAAAGAAAACTAGAGGATCTCTTTAGTATGAAAGCTGAATCAGTATTGTAGAAAAAAATTCTCAAGTTTCTTCAAGTTCAACATACCAGCATTTGTAGAGCTCTTATCCAACTTGCAATTTTCCTCCAGCAATGTTTGACCTGAAAAGATCAGGAAAGCAAATTTCACCAAAGAACTTTTGTAAGAGTTCAAATAAAGTCAAGTCAAAGTAGATTGTCCAAACTGAAATAATGACTTGCAGTGTCCACTTTAAAACTAAAAGTAGACATTTGTTGAGGATCATCGTTGAGATTATAGAAATTATTTTGGACCGCTTAATTCAAACATGTAAGTATATGGATAAAATAAATGGAAAGGTAATTAATAAAGTGGACCACATGATACATCTGAATTACAGATTGAGCTCCAAAGTAGGGCTCTGTCTTTGCAGTGATTTCCAATTTATTTTCTTGTGCACATTGCCTAGAAAATAATTCATATCATGAACTATAAGAAGGAAAGTTTAGTTGGTTGGATGTAAAAAATAAAGGTTTGAAATGCCTTCCATGTTCAGTCAGGGTTATTGTAGAAGAGTGTCAGGCAACTTTGAGCGCCTTGGCACAAAATGTAAGTCAGCTCTGGCCCATTTATGGTTTCCACATTTAGTTTAAAACTAAAGATGTGGACTTGTGGACCAACCTGGAGTGGAAAACAGCTGCAGTTACTGTTCGCAGCACTGGGGTTAGACTTGGACCAGTGTCAGCCAGGAGTATCATTTATCATCAGTCTGACATCCAAGTGTCCTACAATAAGGCATGAATACTGGGTCAAAGTACTTTACCACTTGAACTACTTGGAGTTACTTGAACATTATGGATAACAACTTGTTTAACTGGTAAGTTGCTGGTAAGCTGTGGATGTACGTCAACTGAACCCCTTCCCTGAATAAGTCGTAAAAAGTGATGCAGAGATGCCTTACATCAGGCTGGAACACTTTGCCATTAGCAAGTGGATCTCTGGGACGTGTGCGTTGTCCCACCACTTCTCCAAACGAGGGATCCCTCAGAGTGCGGCATGTCACAGTTGGCACAGGAAGACCTGAGCCCAGCACATTTAATTAGCCAAGCTGTCTTGGCATTGGATGGGAGGGGGGACACACACAGTGACGAGTCATCAACATCACCAAGGGCGCGGTGCTGCTCACTGCCGTACTGCACATCCAAAAGTTAATGGGATGGGTATTGGGGGGGGGGGATTGTGAGAGGGAAATGTAGTTTTCATTGAAAAATTGGTTTGAGTATTGCAGCAAACATGGGCACAAGCAGTGACCAATCAGTTCTTAAGAAAATAACAGGTGTGCTCCTGCCAGATTTTAATTTACCAATCATGTTACACACACATTTGGAGACACAAGGAGATCCAGAGGTTTCAGCTTCATGTCTGCAATTATCATTCAAGTCGACGTGTCAGATTCAATGCAAAGAAATGACTGTTGCTATGAAAAAAAAGCAAAGTTAGGAGGAACAGTTTGGAAGAAACCATTCTGACATCCCCTCTCTGTGGCTGCCTGCATGCGAGGAGCCCACCCCACCTCAGCTGTAGTGAGGAGAGCCCAGTCCAGGCAGCCAGCAACCAGCGCGTCTCTGCCTACCAATCGGCATGCTCGGCTCAGGCACTGTGCAGTGCTCTCAGTCTCAGCAGCTAAAAGCTGGGCGCAGGGGAACTGCGACGGCCGCGCCAAGCATCATCCCAGGTATGCGTCTCTCTCTGTCTCTACGCCCTTTTCGGTTTTTTTTTTTTGTTTTTTTTTTGCAATGTTATGGCATCTTTGCTGCATGCTGTTTCCCCTCTTTCCACCGGTATTGGCTTATTTCTAGGGAGGGGTTGCCTGTGTATTCTTTTTTTTCTTCCCCCCCCCCCCCTCTCTCCCTCACGTAGCCTCTGTGGTAAGCGCAGGGCAGCGGGTCTTTTGGTAAACACTCACAGTCAGCGGAGACGCATCTGCAAAAAACCGCCTCGTTAACCGCGCGTCAACTTGCACACACCTCAAAATGTTCGCCCTTCGACATATCCGCGCCGAGCTGCCTGCTGCTGCTGCTGCTGCTGCTCACTGCTGCTGGTGTTGAGGCGGGGATATGTTGCCGCTGCTGCTGCTGCGTGCATTTCACGAGGATAAATTTGCAAAGAGGTTTTGATTTGGCCAAAGCAGCTTTCGTCAAAACATTACCGCTGACTATATTTTCAACTTGCAGCGCGTCCAGGTAGAGGTTTTTTTTTTTCTTCTTGCGGCACAGGGCGAAGCAGGTATTGAGAGCTGATTTGAAAAATCATTTCATAGCAGTCAATTTTATGTAGGCTGTGCCATACAACACTGCAGCAGGCTATAGGAATAGGCTACAGAGGGTCACACTTTGTGTAAGCATAGACAGTGATTTATTATTGATAGCTGTGTGTTATGATACGACGGATCTATTTCAAATCATTATTCATTCATACTCTGAGTTCTCATCCACTGGAAATGATGAGGAGGAGGATGTTTTTTTGTCAGAATCAGGTGAACACACAAAGTGCTCCTTAACGTGAAGAACTTGAGCATCAAATTAGTTTTTTTTGATTAGCCCAGTCTGTGGCGCTCTGCTTTCCCTGTCACTAGGTAAGATGTAGGTACACTCCCTTAGCAGTTAGGGTGGTGCTGCCTGCTAGTGCTGATGTGTTACAGTGGCCACTACCTGTGCATGCAGTCTGCAAGGCCTGGCTGTACATTGGCCCCCCCCCCTCACCCCCTCCCTCAGCTCCAGGAGGTGAGGTTGTTTGTTAAAACTTAAATATCCAAAAGTTTGAAGTGAATTCAGACTGCGCCTCTGAGTTTAAGTGATATTGTTTTTTTTTTACATTTGCACAGGAAAGTTATAAATAAAATCTGCACACATGAAATTGAATACGAGAAGCAGAAAATGATTCAAATATTTAACAGGAGTTGTCAGCAACTGCAACTTTTATAACACCTGACCTTATTGACAGACACACAGAGCCATCACATCTGTCAGAGGGCCAATACGCTCACTTAAAAATGGGGTTGTGGTTGTAGTCACTGATGGTACCTTTGTTGTTGCTATGCAAAAAAAAAAAAGGGCTCATGTGCTATATTTCCACTGCAATCATTTGAAGCTGTGACCTTGTCAAAAAGGGCCACTGTGTGTCTGATTCTTCCTTCTTGTCTCCGATAAAAAAAAGTCTGCGTTAAAGGAAGCTTCTTTTTTTTCCAGACAAGCCCATCTTCACTGAGCACGACTGCTCTTCGATTTTTTGCAAATTCAAGAAGCTCCTTGAGTTGATTTTTGCTGCGTTTACCACACCAGCCCATTCACTTGGAGAGCGAGGCAGAGTTGGAGGGCTTATACGTCAGAAGCCCTGATTTTGAACATGCTGATTTTTTTTAACGTCATTTCAGAGTGTGCTCGTGGTTTGTCTAAGTCAGAGAAGTTACTGTGGTATTCATACATTTGTTAATCCATTTTTCACATGTATTGTCCCGAAAAACGTAGACACGAGGGCTTATACGTCAGAAGCCCTGATTTTGAACATGCTGATTTTTTTTAACGTCATTTCAGAGTGTGCTCGTGGTTTGTCTAAGTCAGAGAAGTTACTGTGGTATTCATACATTTGTTAATCCATTTTTCACATGTATTGTCCCGAAAAACGTAGACACAATGTGGTCTTGAGGTGAGAGATTTTCTGCTTAGCCTCTTAACATCTGGATAGGATTCATTAACTCCAGGCTATATTTAAAGCTTTACAGTGAGTCATACCGTGTGAAATGAGCTCCCAGGCCAGGGGCAACTCCTAAGTGCAAAGTAGACAAAGTTATGGAGTGAGAAATGTTAAGGTCACCTTAAGGTCAAGAGAACAGGAGGGACTTTAACACACACTTCTAACTAAATACTCCCTTCTTTAATAACAGCAACATCACATTGCTGATGTAAACGGAGCAATACAATATTTAAGTGACAGATTTCTTGGTTTAGTTGAAGTTTTTATTGCTGCTCTGTGCATGCAGCTGCAGCAATTTGTAAAAGAATCAGCGACTAGTTTGAAGTCGATTGTTTCACTTGTAAGTAAAAAAAATCAAAATATTTTAGAAAAATTTGAATTTTGTGATTTTTTTTCTGGTAAATTTCTGCAAATGAAATGTGCTTTGGTTGTGGACAGTTGGTTGAACATAAAGAAACTAGCGAGGCAGATAGGTTGTGATAGTTTAAACTGCATTTCAGCACTTTTTTTCAAACTATATGATTCATACCTAATCATGAAAATAGTTGACTGAATAATAAGAACATCACATAAGCTGATAGTTGCAGTCCAGTTCTTGTAGAGCTGAATTACTGAAAGTGTAAGTTTCATTAAATGTCTTATTTCATAATACAGAATAACATTTTGTAATTCAAAGTGATTTTTATATTATCACATCTGTATTTGTTGACTCCAGCTAAAGCACAATGCACTGTTGTAACTTAAGCTTCTGAAAATAAATATAATTTGAATATACACAAATGCATGATTTTAATTCTTCATCCATCCATCCGTTCATTATCTATACCGATTTTTCCCGTCAGGGTCAAGGGGGCTGCAGCAGAACCCCCGCTTTCATTGGGAGAGGGGCGGGGTTACTCCCTGGTCGCCAGTCAATCGCAGAGCTGAATTTCTGTCCTTAATTGCAAATAGAAAATGAGTTGGGATAATTCACTAGCAGTGAAAAGCAAGTTTCATACACCCTAAATTAACTGTAAAATGTGTGTTTCATTTCACACTTGTTGATTGTAAACTAACACTATGTTCATTCTGAGAGAGAAACACAAATCGCTGCGACATCAAGTTCTCTGCTCTCAGAAACTTTACATAGAAGTGTGATACATAAAGGAGAGGTAAAACAAATACTAGAACATGTTTTTCAGTCTGAGTTTTCTGTTCCCATTTTGGAAGGTTAAGTCTCATATTTAAACACACACGATATGAGAAAAAAAATGCGGTGTGTGATAACAATTTTCTATATCGCAATAACAATATGTAGTGCGTTAAATAAATATATATAGAGTGTATATTAGCCATATTAACGTTTTTTTCAAATGTTTTCATTTGACCTTTTTGCAACACTTTTGTCCTGAATCAGAAATAAAGACAAAAAGCAGGTTTTTTGTCCACCACTAATTTGGCATCAATTAATCTGAGGGTATCTGATAGCTTCTTTAATCTTGAGTTGACTGCGTCAAAATGTTTTGAAAGCATGAACACTCTGCTCAGGTTTCCATCCAATAGTTACAATGCATGCTCTGTGAGGAAGCACTGCGATGTCTTCATCATGAACGCTCATGTCCTGATAACGATGACGTTTTGATTAATTGTGCCTCATATATGACCTCATCCCTGAAGTAATACTTTGATTAGGTATGTAACACAGGCAGAGAGCTGTAGTTGTTAGTGTAAATATATTTATTAACTTGAACAGTTTTGGCACAGTGACTTGTCCTAAAGGGAGGAGTGGTTTGTAAGTCTGCTTCACAACACTTACGTCTTTGATTCAGCGCTGTATACTTGTCTTTTTAGTGACACCTTCTTCATGGAAAATGAATAGTGAGCCACTATTCAAGTCCAAACATGATTTAGCCAAAATGCTAATGTGTGCAAAGCCTTTGATCACCGAGTTACCGGTTTGTAAGCCCTCCGCAGTCTTCTCCAGGCAGGGCCGACTGTTAAAGGCAACAATTAATACATCAGACAAGGAGGAAGGCATTCACACACACACACACACACACACACACACACACACACACACACACACACACACAACCCACAATGGAATTTGAAGACAGCAGTCCATTATCATAAAACTACAATTTTCTCGTAGTCTTACCTTCAAGCATTACATTTAGAGCTGGACTTAATAGTTTATTCTGCAGTAAGATGATGAAAATCAAACCATCAAACTGTCTACTGTCAAAACTGACAACTATTTCCACATTGTTTGTTTATTTATTTTTCAGCAAAAATGCAAAAACATTTCCAATTGTGCTCGCTTCTTACAAAGTCTTTGCTGCTTTTCTTTGTCTTTATCTGATTGTGAACTGAATATTTTCAGGGTTTTTTTGACTGATGTTTGAACAAAACAAGCAATTTGAAGACATTATCTTGAGATTTAGGAAATCATGACGGCCAATTTATTTTTATTATGTTTAACTTTTCGCACACCAAACAATTATTCAGTTAACTGAGACAACAATCAGCAGATTCATATTTTATAAAGACAGTAATTATCTGCAGTGCTTCTTATATATTTTTTGCCATTTTTAGGCCTTTCAATATTTTTTGGTGGAAGAGTTGAAACTAAAGTTGTTACATTACAGTTTACTTGAACACATTCAGGCATGTCAACAACTGTAATGGAAAGCTTTGGTTCTGAAAGCCTCTTTTTAAATATGTAATAACGTATAATGCCATGCATGCATCAGAATATTCTAGAAATGACATGAAAGAACATTAAGGACATAATTCGTCCTTTTTTTGGGGGGGGGGGGGGGGCTTAATTAAGAGATAAGACAGTAGATAGAGTCAGAAATCAAAGGTAAAGAGAGTTAGGAATGACGTGAGAAATGAGCCACCGGTTGGATTTGAACCCGAGCTGCTTGGAGGCCTACCTTCTGCACACTAACCACTGGGCTACCAGCGTCACCCCCCACCCCCATGTGTCATTTTCAAAATTTAAATCAAACTCTTCGATCTTTCTGTTGCCTTTTACACCTTCATCCAGAGTTCTTTAGAACTGGTTTCGTTAACACTGCACGCTATGCGTAAGATTTGAACTTGACATTAGGACTCAGGAGATGAATCACTCAAAGTGCAGTCTGATGCCTTTACGCTAGAAGACACGTCAGCACCATATACACTATGTATGTTAACCTTAAGCACACAGACAAGGGCAGGATACACTATGTACAGAAATTCATATTCGTCTGTGATGACATGCAAAACGGTTAGTTAGTCGGATGTCAAATATATGACGCACATGGCGCTGGAGAAGATTACCTTAAGAGCATCTGACACAGACTGCTAATATAATGAAGCATTTAATCTCCTCCCTTTTTTCTTCATTTTTCACAGAATTACTTTGAAGTTTCTGCTCTGTCATACAGTTATTTTTGTCTGGAGAAAGTACAGTATATTGTCCATAAGCACAGATTAGTGCAGCTGTCAGAATGCCGCTCCGAGTGTCTGGAGAACAATACCAGTGATTGAAATGACTGATGCAAAATGTTCCACCTAGAAGGTGCTTGTGTTTAGGTTAAATCACATTTTCCAGCGTTTTTATCGCAGACAAAGGGTGGAGAAATCATTTTGTCGGCAGTGATTTAAGGGATGGGAACACATCTCAATTTAACAACTCTTACAGTCAAGAATTGTTTAAGACAATTTTGAGAGATTGTGAAATGTCTTTGGGATGAAGAATATGTCTTACAATACAGATTCTTAAGGGGTACTTGCTGTTTAGGCTGATCTACCGGATTGCAGAGTAAAAGTTAAAAGGTGTGGTGTCTGCATTTCGTGCTGTAAAACTGAAATTGTGTACTCCAAAGTTGCCCCTTGAAGATGATAATGGCTGCACAAAAGACAGTGATAAGTTTAGCAAATGTTTGTGTTTAATATAGAACAGTCGCTGAGCTTTCAGGCATTGCGTGTGCAAAAAGGGTACTGCATTAGCACATCTTAAAAGGTAACAGAGACATCAGTGCAACTCTGACATCAGTCGGTGTGTCGAAAAAAGCATTTGGGTGCATGCAGAAAAAGCTCTGTTCACATATTGTCTCTTCCCTCCCTTGTCCTCCCCTCAGTGATGGCCTCTGCCGAGCAACCGTGCTCCAGCTTCCACCAGCAGCACTGCGCATAAGGCTAACACACCCACCTTTGCCCTCCTGCCCAGAAGTGAGAGAGACACCACCATGTACAGTGTGGAGGACCTACTCATTTCGCATGGATATAAATTGCCTAAAAGCGACCCTCCGTCTGCCACGCCTTATGACAAGCGCCCTGCTGATTGCCAGCGGGAACTTGTGGACAACAGGGCTGGCCGGGGGACACTGAACGGGTATGAGGCCGACCGGGGGACATCAATCACAGGAATCTATGGCAGCAGGCAGGCACTGGTGAAGGGTTACCCTGCCACTGACAACGAGAGTGGGGAAAGGATCCTAAGGAGAAAAGAACTCGGCATCGGTATCCTAGGTGACGCTCAGCCCTTGGGTGATTCTCTTGCCACAGATAGTGGGTGAGTGATTTTTTTTCCCTCTCTTTTGCGATCCCCCACACCCTTTACCTTCCCTTCTTTTTCTCTCCCTCCCTTCTCACTGGGGCCCTTCGGTATTGCATGCAAAACTCAGTCTGCACTGCGCAGGGGTTTTTTTTTTTCTTCCCTTCAAGAGCTGCAGAACACTTTGGCTGCAGCAGCACCACTGACATATCCTATGCTGGGTTATGAGGAAATATGAAAGGTGCCTTTGCAATCTTATGAGCTGTTTACAATATGCATGCACGGAGAGTCTCTGTGGAGCCCACCCGTGCGCTGGTTTCGTCTCCACAGCTTCCACCAGGCAGGCAGATGTAAACAGCAGCACTAGACAGTGAGCAAACTGAGGACTGAACATGCCTCAAGACAGGCGCGTAATCACTCCACTGTAAACACTGGCACACTGAATCACGCCCAGCACGTGCTCTGTGATGTAAGCATGTTGCTGGGCAAGTGTGCACAGCGCGGCTCCCCTCAGCTATACAGTAGCATATGCTGCTGAGTATGATCCATTGACTTTGCTGCTTAAATGAATGAGTACAGTGACTAACGCAGTGATTCAGTGCAGTGCAGATACGATGTGAAGCTCTTGGAAAGCATAATTGCAATTCATTCTTTTTATAAATCCATTTTTATTTATGAGACTGGATGTTTTACAAACTTAACATTTAATTACATTTTTAGGATATTTTTATCTGAGATGTATTTTTTATGTACCTTGTATTTTGTTTTAAATAGCTGCTAACTGCAAACCATATTTCCTGAATGCATCATTAGCATAATCCAACTGCAATTTCCGATTGATTTGATTTAAAAGATCTGATGGTCATATTTTATCATCAGCATAAAACTTATGCTTTCCATTTTTTCTGACTGTCATCAGAGAGGCTTAAAAAATGCCTTTATAGGACTAATGACCTGTGGATATTCATGCATATCATGTACTTCTCCTGTTTCATTCAGCAGTGCCAAATAAATAAACACCATGGCATTAGAAATTCAGAAAACAAAATTACAGGATCATTTCACTAAAAAACCTTCCTGAAGACAAAGTGAACTCCTTTTTAAAAAAATAAAAAAAACATAATCTGCCTTGCTTAAGTATGCTATGCTAATTGTTTTGGCACTGCAAGGTACATTTTTCCCATAAATGGCACATGAGACATAAATGTAACCATAAATAAAATCATCTCCAGGCAGCTCTGCTTTATCACCCGACAGTGGAACCACTGTTTTGAACGTGCCAACAGAGATTCGTCCTACACTCGCCATTTTATGCTAAATTCAGCCAGCATTTTAAAATATACATAACTTGTGATGTTATGGATTCTCCCTAGCAACAATCAAGTGCCCTGCTTATTCTGACTTTCCAATGAACAATGTTTCTTATATGAAACTGGAGAAGGCTGGTTTAAAAGTTAAATGTTTATAGGTAGGTCAAATGGTATTTCTTTTAAGAGTACGGTTTAATCTTGCTAATTTAGTTATTTGATCATTCAAATAGATGTAAAGAGGTGCTTTAACTCTCAAGTCAGATTTGACTGTAGGACATTAGACACTCCCTGGGAGCTATAGTCTGGCTATCCAGATGACCAGCTTCCAAGATAAGGTCAGCACAATTTAAAATGCAGATAATTTTTGCAGTAGCATCACAATTTCATGGTTTCTTCAAGGGACTTGGGAGCCGCTGACTTAAGCACTTCTCTCTCCTATGTGCTGGCTCTCCCTGATTAAGTTGCATCAGAAAGGATGTACCGCCAATGCCAAACCGAGTGTCTTGGGCATGGTTCTTCTAATGTTTGATAGTTGAAATGGAAACAGAAATAATACTTATTTTGATTACGGTAAATTTGTTTTGGGATTGTTCATTATATATTTCCTTTAAGATACCATTTTGTGTTTCTGTGTCCATATACCTAACGACTGTGAGTAGAGCCACGTCTTTAACTGCACAACAGTTAAAATGACGACCTTCCTAGTTTCAGAGTCCACCTAACTTTCCTTCAGTTACACTTTGAATGGCCTTCTAACACTTAACTTGTCCTTCTTTGCAGGTTCTACGATGTTCCCAGTTTGACTTATTCTGAGCCACTAAGCTATGACGAGAGGGATGTTTCCTACTGGCGGAGGCGAGGCCAGGACTTCAGCATCCTCCTGGACTATGCTGATGGCAGGGAGCTGAGGGCCTCTGCTGGTGCATGGAGGCCACAGGCCCTGATTGCAGCAGAGGAACACAGAGCAGAGAGGCAAGCACAGCAGCTATGGGAGGAAATTTCCTGGCTCAGGGACCTGGACGCTGCCCCTGGTCAGCTGAGGGTGACAGGGGAGAGGAAGTGCCAGAGCCTTGGTACAGAGGAGTGGAGGCCTGCTGTGGGCCTGGGAAGGCAGTTGTCTGATGGGGACGGGGAGCGGTGGGCTCAGGACCATTACCGCCTGAGGACACCAGAGGGTTTTTTTCACCCAAGAACTAAAGCAAAGTCGCAGTCTCTCCCCAGAGTTTTGTCACCTGACCGTTCTAGCTGCAGAGATCTCATTCCATCAAGGCCAAGCCTTCCTGATAGACAACAGAGGCTAAACAGCACTGTCTTCTCTGGGCCCTATAGTAGGTATATCTATAGTGGTGCTGTTGTAAGGGACCGATGGGGTAGGAATTCTGGGCCAAGCAGCCATGTTGCACTTTTAACAAAGCCCAGGTTCAGCAGGCCTTTAAAGCCGCCATCATATGAGACTCACCAGCAGAATAGGGGTAGCGCAGAAATGCTTGCTATAGAGCAGGGTGCCAAACAAAAGGACAGGTCTATCTATTTTCCAAGGGGAGGGGAGCTGAGACATGACTATTTCGCACAACACTCTGCCATCACTGGAATGGAGCCCCCTGGATACATCCCACCCCCTTCTTATAGAAGAGCTCCACCCCCAAGATCAGTTTCCTTCAATCGCAACGAAATGGCAAACTTAAGATGGAGGGCAGAAGCTCTGCATATGCCAATGTCAGATCCTGGTAGGTGGTTATCCAGACAGTCAAGTAGCTCATGGTTGGAACATTATGGGGAACGTGTTGCATCCTATCGAAAACAGGTACACTCCGGACATGAAGAACAACCAATTCAAGCCCGTCAATTACCCGCTGAAGAACCAAGAGTGAAGCAAATCTCAGGAGGGCCTAGCGGAACTTCTCTCACCGACTCAGACAAGATACGAAACATCAACAAAGAGATCCCAGCCGCAAAGATTTTAGGACAATCTACACATGATAGTGCCTTTCCTCCCCAGCAGGGGCCAGCTCTCAATACTGAAACACGCAAAACAGCGCTCAATGACAATGACAGCAGTAATCGATGGTGCACCAGGGGACTAAACAAAAAAAGTGACAGTGTAGCTCCTGAACAAAGCCAACAACGAAGCCAGTTTTTCCCTTCATCGATTCTGGGTAAACCGCCACCTCCCCCGTGCAAGCCGGCCGACCAGGGTGTCTCTGAAACTGTGACAGAAGTGAAAAAGGTCGAGCAACCTGAACCACCAGAGAAGGACAAAACCAAGAACCTGAAAAAAAGACTTAGTGAGACAATTTTTTGTTTGGTGTCCGTGCCTGTTACTCCGCAGCTTACTGGAACAATCCGTGATCAGAATAACAACAATGAGAAGTCACCGGACCCTGCCGACAGTCCCAGTGATAACAAAACTGGCCATTTAACAAACCAAAGTCTCCAAAGCACATCTTCAGCTGAGGCTGAGCTGCAAGCACTAACTGGTAGCATAGCGAGCAGCAAAACGAGCAGTCGAGCGAGCAGCAAAATGTTTAAAAGAGTCCCCTGTAGACCCCCTAAGATTAACCATTACAAGGAGATGAAACTGTCAGGAACATGGCCTGCAAACCAGTATCGAGACCAGGAGACACAAACTAGCCCAGAGGCCCAAAAAACTGGCCCTGAAAACAAGGAAGCACAACAAGATCCTGTCCCCCCCGGCACTGAAGTTCCTCCTGATAGCAGTGGTGCAGTGGGCACTGCCTTCAGTTTTCCGATAAAGGGAGTGAAGAGCCTGAAACTCTCGAGCAACAGCGCCTTCTCCCTTACATCAACCTTCTCCAACCAGCTGAACAAGAGCACAGCTCCGCAGCCAGCAGTCCCACCCTCAGGAAATTCGGAGGAGAGCAAACCAGCAGCAAACGGTGGGCAGACGGCTTTGAACAGTTCTTGCTGAGACCAGCCAGCCAGCGACCTTGGGATGCCGTTAAAGAGCTGGAGACCATCCAAAAAGAAGTTCAGGATCAACAGCAGCAGAGCAGCAAACAGCCCAGCGTAGATAAGTGCATAGAGGACCTAAACGAGGCCTACAAAGACATCTTGGAGCTAGGCACTGCCAGCAATAAAGTCCCAGATGGTTCTGTTCAAATCCCCGAGCGTATAAAGATCCGATTGACATCTGAACCTCTTAATAAGCCCAGCAGCCTGAGGCGCAGTGCAGTTAGTTGGTCAGTCGACCCAGAATACAGGGAAGTCAAGAGCGCCTTCTCCAGGCCTGCAACAAAGTCGGTAACCTTCAGCAAGCAGCTTAGGGAGGAGCTCCCTGTCCCACCTCGGGAGACAGGCTTCAGAGAATACAGGGTAATCTCGCATCTTTCGCGCAGACGCAGCAATGACGGCAGGACAGTAAAACTAGACCTGCCAGACGAGCCTATTGAGACACCACTCAGTGACTTCAGTCCAACGACGCACACCGCAGCAGCTGAAGTGCCATGGGCGGATAGGCAGCCCATGCAGGATGCCTCCACACTCACTAGTCCTCCCGATTACGAAGACATATGCCAGACTTTGCGCCAGACCAGAGACCCTGCAGATGCCAACAAAGTGTCCACAGGCAATCTGAAACCTAATGACGCAGAGTCTCTTCAAGATCTTAGTGTGGAATCGGATGAGGATTGTCCTATATGTAAAAGAGAGCTTGAGAATCAGATGAGACAGGGCCCACTGCCTCCACTTCACGAGGAGAACAGCTCGGACAGTTCGGCCAATCAAAATGCCAGTCCACCGCAACGTGCTGCGTTAGAAAGTCCGGCAGAGGATACAAAATTAGAGGACCCGAACGACTCAAGCTCGGATCAGGTGGGGTCTGATGTAACAAGAGAACAGCCTTCATTGAGACAGGACAATGAGGAAGGAGAAGAAAAAACAGACAATGCTGTGGCAGAAAACTTGAATAATTTGTGCTCAATTAATCCCGCTGAGAGCACACTAGCCGTTGGAGCTACAGAGCAGATTGCATCGAAAATGTTAGCAACTGATGTGCCTGCAGACCCCAAAGTCACAGAAAAACAGAGTGCAGGTGAAGCACTCACTATGGAAGTAGAATTAGTACAGAAAGACGTCATTACAGGTGAAACAGCAGAAGGCAGTGCAGACAAACAGACAGCTGAAATGAAAAGTGAGGGTGAGGGACAAGATGCTTCTAATTATAAACAGGAGCAAGAGAAGAAGCCATTTGCTGTCCCAGAGCATAGACTCGGTCTACGGACTCATCTGGGGCGAGACCACCCAGGGTTACCAGAGTTTCCACCAGATAGACTGCCACTCTCTGTTCCGCCAAACCTAGACCGCAGGCTGTCTTTAAGTTTGGAAGGGGAGAAAAGGAGCAAGGGCCCCTCCCACCGGATTGAAGCATTGCAGAATAAGCTTGCCATTTCTCCAGGTCGAGTGGCAGTCGAACGTCTGGCTCGGATGAGGGAGGTGGACGTCATGTATCGTATGAGGCGCCTTAGCATCAGGAGCAATGACTCTGGGGATGGGGAGGGGGAGGGCGGTGCAGAGGCAGAGGGGGAGGGCAAGGACGAACAAACAGAGGAGCTCCATCCTGCTCCTCAAAGAGACAAGGATAACATTCAAGAGGTCACCCAATCACAGCAGGTCTCTGAGGAGAAAAAATTGCAAGATGAGGCGGAGCCATCTCTCTCAGGTAAGAAGTAAAATCAATTAAGATTCAAAGTCCTTGTGGAGCAACATTTTAATTAAGCTTGAAGAACTTCTTTACAAGCTTTGTAATTTCTACCCCTATTTGAAATCACTGAGGTAAAATGACAAACAAAACATTTATTTCCTCTGGTTTTTGGTCTACGCAGAATCTGCAGACTACAAAATCGCCAAGAAAGAGGAAATTAACAATAAAGTTATTATTATAGACATTTGTAGTTGAGAAATTATAATATGGCTTTTACTTGGAAACAGGCATTGTACTATCTTAACATAACTTGTGCATCAGATTTAATTCTGTTAATCAGACTATCAAAAAAATGTTTTGCGAGAAATTTCTTTGCATACTGTCAGTTTTTTATAACCAGTTTTTAAAACACACATCTAGAAGAAAAGTTTAAATCAAATGTGTGCAAAGGAAAGCTGTCTGCGTCCCTCTGTTGGGTCTGGCTATATGCTGGAATACACAAGTTATGAATCATGACTCACTGATTTGTTCTAAGCTTAGAAACTCTGTTATGATCTTGCTATATACTGTGGTCTCTGTCTGCAATCTGCAACTACTTCATTACTAATATATGTGTAGCTCTTAAGGGCCCGATCACACAGGGCTAGAAAAGTGCTGCCAGCAAAACCATTGTTTTCCTATGGTGCAGCGCGCCTGGGCTTAAAGTTACAAAAATGTCAACTTTTCAGCTCAAGACGCAGAGTCGCAGCACTTGTCAATGTCCCTTTTGGCCGAGGCAGCAAATCAAATCAAGTAGGAGGCTTACCTCTGCTTTTCTAGGAGGGAGTCTAGGAGCAAAACAATGATGGGAGCTCTGCATTTGCTCGAATCAATTTTTCCCATCTTATTTTATTTGGTTTCCCGTATTCGCACAAAGCCCCGCTCCACAGGCGCTCCTGGCTGTTTTACCCCCCCAGATGTGCTCAGGCGTTTTTCGGAGCGGCCGCACTTAGGGCGACGCGTCTCTGTGTGATCAGGCCCTAAGTGAATCAATCGATTCACTGACCGTGATTTGGCCTTGCTGTTAAACATCTCCAGGAAACGGTGTCACTGCCTCGAGATTGTGCAAGTCCTCCTTAGAGAATTCAAATCTTGTGAAGAAATCATTTATTACAATACTAGATGATATAATGTTTTTTGTTTTTTTTAATGAATACCCTTCTTCTTTATGTCCCAGAACACCATGATCCCAGCCAAGTGGAGATAGAGTAGAAAGACTGCGTCAATCATCTCCATCAGAGGTTTTTAGCTCCAACACTGTGACCTGGCTGCCTACTAGAATGCCTTCATCTCATCTTGACACTGAAATGGCCTTCTTGTCCGACAAGAGCATTGTGTACACCCTCACCCTTGGCGCTGCGTTGACTTCTAAGAGTGCTGTTCCACTGCCAAAGGGAGGTGCCCTTTTAACTTGTGGGGGCAACTTCCACCCCAAGTCCGTCCCCAGCCTACCCAAACTGACTCCCCACTACCCCATCTATCCTCCATCCCCAAGCCCATCCTCTTTAAGGGTTTCTACTATTAGTCTTCTTGTAGCGGCTTGTCCTTTCTATTCTATCCTCCCTATGCTTTTCTCATTAGCAGACATTATGCAATTCTGTCGTGCATACTAAACTTTGAAGAAGTCCATAGTGAATACAGTCGAGGGAGTTTTTCTTTGCAAAATGAACAAATCCGTTTGTTTATGGGCAAGCTGTAAAGGATATGAATGTAAGCATTTATGTTTAACCTAATGTAGACATAGAAAGGTTATTGTCACAAACCTGTTCTGTTGCATTTAAACTACACCAAAATAAACTTTGTATCTGATTGTCGTAGTGAGGCGACAGCTGTTTTAGAACTGGACATCACTGTCACTGGCTTAAGAACTGTTTTGATTTTCAGATGAGATTAATCAGCCTTTCTTTTTTAAGATTAAATGACATTGTGCCCTGACTCATTGCTTTTGTACACTCTGCAACCATAACCCATATAGCTCTTCAATGAAGAGCAAGTCTGCACCACTCGAACATGATAGATCAGTAACCTACTGTACGATACATTGGTTCTACGCTGGAGAGGGAGAGTCGCCTTCTTAAAGTACGTTAGTCCCCAGATCAATGCGATGTATAGCTCCCATTTCCAGGTAATTTCAGGAAGCAATAAAGGCGCAGATTGAGTTGAAGAGGCGGTCGGCAACTTTGATTAAAAATTAAAAGATAAACATTGAGATATAGAACAAAAAAAGATATGTAGAGCAATATTGTTGTACAAACAGCTAAGTGGTGTAGTGGAGCTACCTGTAGGAACCATTTTCAGGAGTTTTAATGTGACGTGTCATTCAAATCATATTACAGGGATATGGAATCGTGTCAGGGTATATGGGCGCTTAACAGGGGTGGGTGCTTTTCTTCATGATATACTGTATATCTATGTTCATACATCTGTATCGCAAAGAGACATTTCACTGAATATTTATTTTTGTTATCATCGAATTGTTAATCAGTTTGCATACTGTACAAAATAAAGTATATTTTAAATATTTTAAGAGATATTTTGTATTTAACCATGAAATTTTATTTCTCCACACTTAAAGTATCATACGTCTGTAAAGTATCATGTTGAGAGTACGCATACTTTTCTAGTGCTTTAAAATCTTGCAGAGTGATTCAAGAAGGGATGGCCCTGTGGTGTGCCTTGATCACACAATTCGGTTTCAGTAAGAGATAGGGTTCATCGTAGCCTGGGTAGACGTGATGGGAACTTTTTGATTGTGCCATGATTTCCAATTGATAGTGCTTTTTTTCATATGCTAACAGAGTCAATGTTTGCTCTCCATGTTGTACTCAATACATCAATTCATTCCAGCTGTATTTCCTATGTTGGTGGTCAAATGTGACCTGTGTCCTATTTATGTCTTTGTATGTCTTCCAATTCAAATCATGCGTTGTTCTGTTGTTGGTTCCTTGAAACATGATTAGGAATAAAATTGGGATTTTTTTTCTTTCGCTTCCACCCTTCTTTTCTTCTATCTATCTTTTCCTGCTTCCTCTTTTCTTCTGCCTTTCAATTAACAGTGCGTCAATGTTTTGGAAAAAAAAAAAAAGTGTTCTGCTGTCCCTAACACTTATTGCACTAAAGGATACAATGCAGTATGCTTGTTGTTGGCGAAAAAAACATGTATATGCAAATGTATGAAAAAAAAGTTTTTCTTTCAAATACAGGGTTTTTTGATAAATCTTAAATCAAAACATAAAACGTGATATAAAAAAAAGTTCTTTTGGATAAAACAAGTTTGCAGTTATGTGTTTTTTCCCCACAAGAGCAGCACTGCATTGATGAAAAGTATATACAAAAGATTTGTAGGAATCTTTCACTCATCAAGTATCACTTACTGTTATGTAGCATTTTACAGTTGTAGCATTTGATCAACTCAGAACTCTGTCTTAGCATTTCAAACATTTCTTGTAAATTTTGAAAAAATCATGTCGCCTTATTCTGTGTGCATTACATTACACTCCAGGCAATGCCAAATACTAAGATACTAAGCACTGTTTCATACCTTAGGTTTTTACAAACAACTTACTGTTTCTGCCATGTCTCTGGCTGGAGAGGTACAGTAGCATTGTGGATAGTTTCCGCTCTTCATGCTGGTTTTCTGTAGAAATATTGAATCAAAACTGTGAACTTCAGATAAACTAAAAGCTTACTCTTAAAAGTACAGCGAGATTCAATGTTTAAAGACGAACCCATTGTCAGCATCACAGGGAGGACAAGCTGGCACGCCCATAATTACTAACACATCTCATTTTCAATTCATTATAAAGACCGAAAGGCCTCGCCTTGGTCTTGTGTGTAAACTGCCCCTGACAACATTTAATTACCTATTTCAGTACATATGCCCCCCAAATAATTGGCATGTCAGGTACACTTGAACATTGTGTCATTTGACTTTTTGTACTGCAGGTTACGTGCAACATGAAGTAATTATGCACACTTGTAATATTTTCTATTTTCATATGAGATTTAAGTGCTTTTTGTACTCACTGACATCTTTTTTTCTTCCTTGCATGAAATGCGAGAGAAAGGAGGAAAAAAAATGTTTTTCATAAAGTATATTTGCATTTGGTACTCCAATAGTAAAAACCGGTGGGCAAAACATTATGTTTCATAATTTAATTTACAAGACTATGCCAAGTATTTAAATGCTATTTTTAGAGTAAATCAAAAGAGAACTCATTCATTTTCTTTCTTTAAAACATGCCTTTATCTTTGTATCTATAAATATGAGCATAATCCATAGTCATGATTGTGCTACTGTTGTATGATACTGCAGTCTGATTCATAAATAAACTCTTTGCATGAAAGCTGTGTTTGTGATCAATTGCCAATGCGTAATGTATTATTGTTTCATATAATGTATGATCTAATCCGGTAAATAATACTTTTGATGGCTTTAGATACATATTTAAATATGCAACTTTCTTTTTGTCAATTGGTGTCAAATTTTTCAAAGCATAGATATTTTATTGTTCATATTTAAATCTCCCATTAGACTTTGATTTTGAGTTATTATAAAGGATAATAATGTATGTCCGCATTTATGTATGTTTTCAAAAAAATAAAACTCATACTAGATGTTAAGGCCATTTCAGCCCAATTACCCTGACAGACTGTCACACTGAGCTCCACTTGTGCGATCATAAGTGTTGGCAAAGACAATACTTGAGCCGAACCTTGTAAAAAACCTCCCAGCATGCTCTCTGACGCTTGGATGTCATCCATCCTCAGACGCTGTTCAAATACATCTTTGTGCTATCGTTTTTTTTTCTAAAAAAGAGGAGTGAGAAGTAAGATTAGCACATCCTCTGATGTGATACATTATTGATCCCTATAAGCTTTCTTTCCCCTGACATCCTGGTACTCTGCTGTAAGGAGAGTTGGCAGCTGCTTGAGACAGCAGGGGGCCGAGTTAAGAGAGGGGCTGTATAGAGGTAAAACATTATAGGTTGTCACAACCTGTCATACCAAAAGATATATTTAGTAGACAAAAACATTCTCAAAATAAAAAAGAAAAGGTAGTTGTTCATTGATGTTCTCTAAATACAATCACTAAAATCACCTACACGAAAAGCCTTACAAATAGGCCTTCCATAGTTTATCTTGAATATAATAAATAAGCCAGCCCACTTCAAATGGAGACTCAACAGACAGAAAACATAAGAATATTAACTACTTAATTGGAAAAACATACTCAATGACTACCTTAAGTTAAATGTTAACTTGCTTTAAAAACACAACTGCTGCAACTGCATGAATGTTGACCGTTAAATAGGACTCTATTTTATACTATAACATAACAGTTGTGGCCACAAATATGAACTTTTAGTTGTATAGGACACTATATAGGCCTACTGTAAATATTACTACTACACACACCTGGGTCATAGTAAAGCTGATTTAATATTGCTTGAATATGATTGGCTCCTGTAACTGATTCTATGTCTGATAAACTGAAGTATGTTGCTTAAAAGAGTCATTTTAAAACCCTATTAGGTTGTAGTTTTCACCAGAGTAATATAAATTTTATGAAAACAACATTCGTATCTCTTGAAATCAGGACGTTTTCATTAGCAACATTTAATAGCCAAAACAACTAGCGAGTTAACCTTATCAGCCTCAGGTGTCAGCTACTTATGATTACTGACTGCCAGTCTACAGGCTACTTTAATACAGTCTGTGGTCTATATACCAACTTGGCTTGAGAGATAAAAACTTACAATAGTTCAGAAACTTTCAGCTAAGTTACAGATTTTTAGAACTACAAAAAGGTAAATAGTATAACTTAATTCCCAGTAGCTATTTTGGCAACTTCTGTTTTACTTTTGCTGTGTAATTCCTGATTGTTATCTATACAGTTGTTGCTATAGACACTGCTACTGTGGTTACAGCTCCTCTACTCCTAGCTCAGCTGCTGTTCTGCTAATGCTAAAGTTAGTTTGACCTAGCCTCACCTCATTCATAGAACTGAAGAACAACTTCTACTAATTGCAATTTTACGATTTAATGTTGACAGTTAATGTAAATTATAAATTAAACTAGTGACAATTCTGCCCTATCACACAAGAGATAATGTTATGTAAATATCTTGTCATCTAATCTTTATTCCATAGTGCATTGGTGTCCTCAGAATTAAACAGTCCCTCTGTCACTGTTTTGCCACAAAGCTCCAGGTGTCCCTGCATTATCGTTGCCTAAATCCCAGAGCCAGACCAGGGTAAGTAAACTACATATTTGTCACATATACTGTACACCTGTTAAACATGCTGGCCTTTTGTACCTTGAGAAATCACGAGGCCACAACTGTCTTCATCCACTACTTGCACATAACAAACCAAAATACTGATAAAGAGGATATCAAGAGTTACCTTCTCACATATCGTGTTAACTTTTAAAACCTGAGGTGATAACAAAGACATAAAGTCTGCTTTGACTGTCATGCACCTCTTATCTCCACAAGATGGAGCCATATTATAATTATACGATACCAAAAACAACCTACCTGAACATCCCCCATGTCAATTTAGACCTTTTTTAATAAAATGATCGTCTCCAATTATTTTTAATACTTTTTATTGTGTCGTGTAAGCTTGCCAAAAGTGCATAACTTTGCACTTATATTTATATTTATAATGCCAATTTGGGTTTTTCTACCTGAGCAAAACAACCTTAACAGCCTGGAAGTGGTACTGTTTTTTGCACTTCATAGCTGTCCTGTACTGATTACACTGGTGAGTACCATGATCAATACAATAAACAATAAGCCCTGACACTGCAGATTGCACATTTAGAATAGAGCTCTTTTGCATTGGAAATAAAGTGAAACATCTGTCAGTCAGTGGCTTTAAAACCATGCAGTATTTGTAAAACTGAGGAATTACTCATTTAATTGCATCCTACAGTTGGATGCATTGTTTTATGTAGACACAGCATGCATTGCTCAAAGCAAAATTACATTTAATTAAGCTTTTTTAGAGTCCCCGGTGCTGTAGTGCAGGAGACTCTGCAAAGTCTAGATGACACTGTGCTGCTGGATTGTAGTTTAACAGCTGATTCGATCCACTGTGCTGTTAGCAAGACGCATCCTGGCTATTTATGGCAGACGCCCCTACAACGAGGCCACTCTCTTCAGTCCATACATGGCTGCTGTGGGATGAGGTTACCAAGCCGATTTTGGCCCGCACTCCCCAAACGCCTTCGAAAGAGTGTTGTGTTGACTTTCACCGTCAGTCTAAACTATCAGACCGGGCCCCCGAATGTGGCTTACAAGAATGGTCATTTAAAGAGCCACATTTTCTAACTTTTAGAAAAGTTTGAAGAACCACTTATTGTAGGAGTATTAGTCAGTTTCAACCCTAACCGTTTTTAGGGCATTTTTCTCAGCTTCATCACATCTTTGAGTCCCTCACTTCTTTCCTGCATACCCCTCTCTCTCTCTCTCTCTCTCTCTCTCGTTCTCTCTCCCCCTCTCCCTTCGTCCTTTTCTTCTTTGCACTGCTGTTCCTGGACTGATTTATTAGACCCCGTGCAGCAGAGCTGGTGGGAAAGCACCGGGCTATAATTGTCGGCTGCTGAGGGTTGGACCTGCTTCACGGTGACGACTCTGGATTCTCTCTTTGGGTTTACCTGCTCACACCTGCGCCGCCTGCCTCCTCAGCATCTGCTTTGCTCTGAATGAGGGACTAGTGAAACCCTCTTGTAGTATCATTTTTCTACTGTCAGGATAAATGGACTTCACCTGTGAGAACCGAGATCATTGTAAGTATTGTTCTCTCTTTCCTATTTTGATTGTATGCATGCTGATTTGATGAGTAAGATACGCAAAGTTATTACATAATGAATCCAAAACTGTTTATAATTCAGCTCTTTGTTGAGTAGACAAAATAGGATTCTTGGGGACATGACATGTAGATAAAAAAGATGACTGACTATTATTTTACTTATCATAAAGAAATCTTTATAATAACTTTTGATATGTCTCTATGAAACCTTTCTTTACTGAATGACGGCACCTGATCTAATACATTATCTTTGGCAGTAAATATAGATATGTTTATACTAGTTAATATACGGTATGTTTATTATGTGTCAACAGGGCAATTTTGTTACCATCAGTCATAGTTCAAACCAAATAATTAATATTGATCACTTCATTTGCAGAGTCTGTGGTGCCCAATGAAATCAGACTGGTTCAGAATCTTGCCAGTGCAAAGTTACAGGGCATTAGCACTTTTTCATAATGTCAGGCAAATTCTCTGGGGAGTTCAGTTTTTAATAGTCAGTTTATGAATTGTATCTTCTTATGTATTTCATTGCATCTTATTAGTTTATATGAAAAGTTTATATTAGTGAAGGCAAACGTTGGTGGCAAAACTCTGCAGGAGAAGCTTCTGGTTTACGTCCCCAACCCCGGAGGACTCGACGTGGTGTCCCAACTTAAGCCCCCCTGTTGTTGCTCTGTGCCGTCTCAAGTAACCTCTTGGGTATTAGCATTCCAGGCTCCAGATTGTGGCTGTATGTATGTATGGTGGTATGTGTGTGCAGCTGATCTATCAGCTGGTTGTTGGGGGAGTGTGTTGTTCCAACTCCGGGCAGGCGTCACTCCTCCATAGTTTTTGTTTTTATACCGTGTGTGTGTGTGTGTGTGTGTGTGTGTGTGTGTGTGTGTGTGAGTGTGTGTGACTTGTGCAGCAGTTGCTTGGTGCTTTGCACCTGCTGCAGGCTTCAAAATGAATAGACAGGTTTACTGGCCAGCCCCATGCTTGACCTTCTGCAACTGGATTCTGTTCTTCTAAGTACTGGAATAGAGAGTTTGAATTGTTCTGTATTACCAACTAACTGCGACACATGCATTTTATTTCATAAAGGCCTACTTTACTTTAAATGCATTGAAAAAAAGTTAAATTGAATGCACTTTTGTCTTACTTGAAGCACTTCAAAGCTTATTTGTTAATCAAATAAGTCTTCCAAAACGAAAACACTTGTGTAAAATTGAAAATGTTTTTAAAATTGTATTTCAAGTATGTTTTAGTTGTGAAAAACATTGTAGATCGTTTTTTTTAATGTAGCAAAATGATAAAATATAGCTCCAATTGTATGTTGTTAGTTTTCACCAGTGATATTGGAAGAAGCTGCTGGTTTCCAGTTGTAGAAAATGTTTCTTGTTCTTGTGCCCAAACTCCCATCTTTGGAGCAATCAACATTTTTTTTTAAATCCTCCTGCTCATATTTGATCTCCCCTCCTTATTGGAGGTACAATCAAACTGACCCCAACAAAAATATCTCCTGTCATATTTGTATTCAACAG